ACGATTACTGAACTTGGCCGCCCCAAAGTATATCGCATTCAGGAGCAGTTTGGAAAAGTAAGGCCCGTTGGTGGCCATATCACGCATAAAGCTCGGGCGATGCGTTATCAGGAAGGAGTGGTGCTGGCGATTCCAATGCAGGGACAGCAGGTGCATCCCCAACTCGGGATCTACGCCATCAAAGTCCAACTTTCCTTGTTGGAAGTTCAACGTTTCTAGCTGCCCTAGAAACATGAGAACATTAGGGTCCGCGACCAATTTCGGTAATGGGCAAGGACATCATGGATCGCGACTCACTTTGATAAGCGGCCTCTCCCATCAGTTGTTGCTGAATGGGCTCCACAGGACCGGGGCGATTGGCCAGTTGGGCCGAGCCATGACGGCTGACGGGGGCACCGTCAAAAAGGGTACTGGTGAGGCCATGGTAGCTGGAGTCTCCGTTGGCGGAGATAAAGATGCCGGATACAACAGACTGCGGATGATCCATCTTGGTGGACTCCGACTGTTGGTGGAGATCTGCATCAGGGGTTGCCTGTTCTCCATGCGCCGGCGCGGCACCTCCGTCGCCAAGTCGCTGCCGAAGTTGCTCATTTTCAGTCACCAAGTGAGCGATCCAGGCTTTGGATGGCCTAGGTGGGTCAGGTAATCAGCATCTTCTGCAGACGGATTCAATTCCGCGCACCTGGGTCTTGCAGGGCTGGTCATGTACACGCATTCCTTGCCGTAACCTTGACAATTGGAGCACGTTGGCTTTTCGTCGCAGCGCAACTATAGCAGCCGTGAGCGGTAGGGCACGGTCGGAGGGGGCGAAACAGTGGATCTCAACTCACCTTCCTCCGGCGACAGAAGCTGCATGCCTTGGTTGCTCTGCGAGAACGGGACGACGGAACCATTCTTTCCATGGCTTGACAGGGTCTCCGTGGAGAACACGAGACATGGATAGGGGAAAAGAAGATGGAAGATGGCAGATGGAAGATATACGTACCGGGTTTGCACGGAAGGACAGGTTCCGCGGCAATTCATCCTCCGTCGGCAAATCCCGCAATTATTGTGGAGATTTGGTATCACAGTTTACTAAGTACCTCAATATAGTTACTATAAGTTGGTGCAAACGATTGGACTACTCAGCAGCTAACCGTTGTCGCTCTATTACTGGTACTTGGTATTATCATGGCTGCCCCTGCCTCAACAAAGCCGCAAAAGGTCGGCTCATCTCCCTCCAGCGACCGGGAAGGACATTAACCAATTTAACTTGTTCGCAGCATTACACTCCACAGTGGGTCTCTCTGGTTGCTGGCGGAGTGGCTGGAGGGGTGGAAGCTGCGTGCACGGTAAGTAACTAATTCCTTCGGGCTTGCAGCATGTTAGATGCAGGACTGACAAGATGATGAATAAAAGTACCCCTTCGAATACGCAAAGACCCGCGTGCAACTCTTGAGGAGCAGCAAATCGACCCCCTCCAACCCATTTCAACTCATATATACCGTTGCGCAACGGGAAGGCATCGGTGCTTTATATACCGGATGTTCTACGCTGATCATTGTGCGTTCTGATCTAATCCTCTTTCGCTAGGGATAAAGATTTAATAGTTCGCAGGGCACGACGGCCAAGGCCGCTGTGCGATTTGTTTCATACGACACCATTAAGAACTCCCTTTCCGATGAGCGTGGATCGCTCTCCCCAGCACGGGGCATTCTGGCCGGCGTTGTCGCAGGGGCCACAGAAAGTGTTCTGGCCGTAACGCCTACGGAAAGAATCAAGACAGCACTGTTTGTGTCCTGCTTTCCACACAATTCTCAAAGCCATTTTCACTGATTGACGAAGGATCGACGATGCGAAAAACGCCAGGCAGTTCCGATCGAGTCTCCACGCCACGCAAGTCTTAGTTCGAACCCACGGTTTGGGCGAGCTCTACCGGGGACTTGTGTCCACCACGCTAAAACAGTCAGCAACATCGGCCGTGAGAATGGGCACGTACAATATCCTCAAAGAAATTGTCAAGGCACACGACATTCCGCCGACTTTTCTCACTACCTTTTGCATGGGAGCCGTGGCGGGAGTCGTCACTGTGTACGCGACGCAGCCTTTTGACACGATCAAGACGCGGGCGCAAGGTGTCCAGGGGGCAGGGCTTGTAGAAGCCGTCCAGAACATACGGAGTGACTATGGAATTCGGGGTTTCTGGAAGGGCAGTTCAATGCGGTTGGGCAGGCTGCTTCTGAGTGGCGGGATTGTCTTTTCGGTGTATGAGAAGATGACGTTTCTGCTGCATCCGAGTGTGCGGGTCGAGTGAATGTTCAGCAGATCAGATAGAAATATACTTCTTAATTTCATCGTTTCTGCTAAATAAAAATATAAGAAAAACAGCAAAAGGAAAAGGAAAAGAAGAAAGAAAGGAAAGGGGCAGAAAGGGGGAAAAGAAAGAACGAAACAGCCCGAAATCTTGTAGAGTTTCAATGAGTGTAGTTTCTAGAATCCCCATGTAAACAATGCTTATAGACTTCCTTCAGTATCCGGCCAATAGGATCATAGGAATATATCTATTCAAATTCTGCTTCTCTCATAGTAGTTAATCTCTTCTCCAAAAACCAGAAGCCTTTTGATATATATATTACCGCCCAACATACATTATATATCGATGGTTAGTTTAACTTCTCACAAGACGTTACAAAAGTATAATGCCTTCCAAGCATGACCAGTCCAATCCGTCCATTTATGAATAGGTGATCTCAAAAGTCCCATCTTTCCTATGTTCTACATTGGCGAGAAGCGCGCCATCGGTATTCAAAAATCGAAGCATGCCCGCATGCTGGATCGCGTTGGTAAAATCCACTATCTCACCTTCCTCGGCGTCATATGCACAAACCCAAAGTTGGATTACGGGCGCAATGACAGCAAATTGAATTGCATTGGCATCGGTGGGAGCCGGATACTACAACTAGATTAGCTGCTTTTTACCATAGGACAAGGGAACGGAGGAACATACATAAGCAAAAGGCCTCGTGCCCACACTTCCATCGGGCAACCTGTTGCCCTTGGCCATTCCATACACGATGTATTTCCCATCCGATGGAGAAAGGTCACCACCGAAATCAAACCGTACCATGTCCATTGGTGCTGTTTTCTCTTTCACCGTCATGAGTGGGTCGCCTGTTTCGTTTTTCGTGAGGCCAAAAGTACCTGTAATACCCTTATTTAGACTCTAGTCACACTGCTTATTCCTTCCAGCCTTTGAAAACTCCTATACAGCGATGATAATGGGATATACATACTTGCAGGCGTCGTGGGAGTCGCGGGATCAGCATCCTTTACATCGATCGATGTTACCTTCACGCCAAACCCGGGTTTCTCAGCGGTAGTCCCAACCCCTTTGCTGATATTAATCTGGTGTATTTACTGGGAAGTGTAAGGGTGGGTAGAGTATGTCACACACATCCGTATAGTTGATACGTGGTTGATGTATCCCACGTCTGTCCGGTGTCGAGTTCCTTTGCGTGCCAGACAAGACATCCCCCGTCATGCTTATTGTTGTTGCTTCCGAGGGTCATCATGGGTGGACCGGGAATAATGCCATATTTCTGTTTGCGGCCGGAGTTGTTCACGACGTGGATGGTATGGTCAGGCATGTTTCAAGGCAAGTGACTGAGTTAATGTAGAAGGCAGGACTACTTTGGCCGTGAGGGTCAAAAGGTAGTAGTCGTTGGTGCTACTTATATCCCTTTGATGTGGTATCTTTTTCGTTATTTTAAGGGCAAGGTGCGGTAGTCATGAATCATTAGACGCCGTGAACGGTAGTTGCATTTATAAGGAAGGTAGCATCGGGGTTTCCCAAAGGTGGAGCTCCTAGTATCATCATTACATTTACATTGTTTTTTTGTTTCATTCTGGTGAATTATATGTTTTTGACTGTGAATGTGGCTCTGCCAGTTATGAAGAAGACTGAATGACGAGGTAGCAATAGGCTGTCCACACTTTTATGTTGTCTATGTTTCGCCTGTTCGTCATCCGAGAAATTCGGGCGCTAACACCGAAGTAGCATCTTCCTATGAGTTGCCCTATCACCCAAATGTGTCAGGTCAGATTTAACACACTCTTACACCCCAAAACGAGACGGAACCTGTTAAATCAAGCTTATTTATTCTGGGGTATATCGTCAACATCATCAGGGCCGTCTTTGGTCTACCTACTTCCACAGATTGATGCCTTATTAATGCCTTCTGAAGCCGAGGCCCCACCATCCGAGCTGTGCCAACGAGAATAATAGCCTTCCCTTGGCCGGCTATTGTGAAGACACTCGGGCATTGTTAGAAATGCTAATCTGTCCTTATTACCATTACAAATCAATTAGACTCCCAAGATAGTGGGTCAAGACGGCTGTCCCAAGGTTGCCGACATTTCGCAAGCCACAGCCGTTCGCAAGAAAATAATACCCTCAGTGAATCATAGTAAGGAAAATAACCAACTTGTATTAGTTGCCTTCTCTGGCCAGCAACTTACATGAAGCGTGTGTGTGCACTTTCATCTATTCCCTTAAAGCTAATATCTCAGCTGGGCTGGTCTAATAATAGTTACTCCGGACTTAATTTCCGGGCTGACTCAGGATGAGGGGTTCAAAATGCTGCAATGCTGGAGTCATGTGACCTCGGCTAACTAAGTACTTGGTAATGGGCTAGTATTCCATTCCAACCTCTCATAATATTTATTGATGGGAGGAGATGCCTCAGTTGAACCTTATTGGGCCATTATGAAGGAGGGGGCGGGGAATGTGACCGTGGAATTACATTAGTTGAGACAGTATCAGGGATTGACTGACACAATCCGATGACACAGTGTCCACTGGTCAAACGACCTTCTCATTTATAATCTACAAGGTAAAATATAGGAAATAGTGAGCCGAGTGTAACGCGTGACTAGAAAGGGTCAGAACAATTGAAGTTGGGTCACTGTTTACTGTTGAGCTGATCGGCAACAACAGCAACGAGGTGAACAGCACTGGTAACATTCTTCTTCAGCTATACCCACATTCTATTCCATCTTTGTTTAGCATATTTCGGTAGTTCGCACAAACCCTCTTCCATCATGATCGCCATAGGAAATATAAATCCATGATGTTCTTGTTCTTCTAGTACTTCACTTACCACTGATGTCATCAGCATTTCTAACCGAGTAATACAGTATGGTTTTGGTAGCACTTATCACAGGAGGAAGTAAGTTACCATCCCCATATGCCCATGATACTAAGTAGTAATGGCCGACCGTGAATAACCATTCATAGCCAGTGGCATCGGCCTCGATGTCGCTCAACAACTTGACCTCACCGGCCTCTGGAAAGTTCACATCATTGGTAGCAACTTGGAACGCGGCAAAGCGGCCGTTGTGTCGCTTAAAAATACCACATTTCACCAGGCTGATGTGACAAAGTACGAGCAGCAGGGCAATACGTTTCAGAAGATCTTCAACGAGGAGAAGAGATTAGACTTTGTCTTTGCGAATGCCGGCGTCGCCGAAGACACGGTCTTCTTCTCCAAGCATGAAACAGGAATCCCGCCACGGCCTGATATTGCTGGACTAACGGATATTAACTTGACTGGTGCCATCTATACAAGTTACCTCGCCATGCACTATTTTCGCCGATCGCCGGAGGTGACGATGGGGAAGAGGAACCTGATTATCACGTCGAGCATCGGTGGGTTATATCCATGCATGCATACGCCGGTATATTCAGCGACAAAACGTAAGTACACGATGCCGCCATGGCGGATGCAAAGCTAAGAATTCTAGATGCTTTGGTTGGGTTTACACGCTCGATCGGTAAACAATTGTGGAACGAAGGCGTGAAAGTGAACGCGATCTGCCCAGGAGTAGTCATCACACCCTTGATTACACCAGAGCTGAAGGCGTACTTCTCGGAGAAGATCCTGATCACTACAAATGATGTGACCAACGTGATCTTCAAGCTAATCTCGCAAGACGACGTGACAGACTCAAAGGGGACGTTTGTCTCGCGCGATCAGCTTCATTCGCAAGCAATCCTAGTGTCCGGGGAGAAGTACTACTGTGTCGACATGCCAGAATATTTTGATGAGGAGACGCAACTAACTCATCAGCAAATGATGGGTTGAAGATGCCGGACGTTACTCTTCGTTTATATAGTTGGCAGGCGTCCAGGGGGTCTTGCTTCTCGACGATTGAAGTAATAATGACCTTGGAAAGCCGAGTGGAGATGGTTTGCACCTCATCATTAGTCTCAGGTCATGCTTTGACAATATCCATTTTGATAGAAATTGGACCCACCAACAAGCGCTGATCGATCCTGCACATATTTCACTGTACCCACCAGTTCATCGTGTTTCCAAATTGCGTAATCAGTCTTCAGTCGGAACGTATTTTGCATGATGGGCGATAGTAGTGGAAAATCAGTCACTATATGGGCCGGGGAAGGATTAGCTTTGACTCGACCATCCCTCTTCCTTGATTCCCCGCGCCTCTTAAGATGAGATGTAGGTCGCTATTGATTCGAATGGCTGATCTCAGTTCGCTCGCTTACACTCATAATCTCTCTACCTGGGTGACGTACGACCTTTTACATAAAGCATACAACGTGATGACCGATGTGAGGGTTACTATTGCTCTTAGACCCATATAAATAATAATGTCTGTACACAGATATCGTTCCCGATAAGATCAAGTTAATAAGAATAAAGGGAAAAAAAAAAGGGGGGGGGGGGGGGATTACTCTTTCTATGTGGACGTAAATGACTGCGTGCCGGTAAAGCTTTATTAGTGTGTTCGTGAGGATTGCAGCAAGAAAGGATCCAGAGTCTAGTGGGCCTCATCGAGCATAGTCCCAGGACTGACCAGCTCTGTAAGGTGACCAAGAGAAGCCCGATATCCTCTTTCTGAGCCAAGGGATCCCATTGCCTACTTGGCGATCGCTATAGAACTTCACCAGTGACTGCTCCCATGGGATTAGTGTGAACGAATTGAGCACTAGAATGAAGTAGCATCTCCGAAGCGTCCAGACATAGCTCCAATATTGAAGTCACTATCTTGTATGCATTACACGATGCCTTGATTTGACAGGCCAATTATCGTCTAATTTATTAATTCTAGACAATAGTTCGCTACACGAAGTATATTTTCGTGGTATTTTTTCGCAATATCGCGTCTGTGAGGGCATTACAGGCTCATGTGATATACTATACTCCACGACACTGTCATAAATCTGTGGTCTCTATGTAGCCACGTTGCTACTACGTATGGTAGCTTCCAGCGGATAGACTGAATTCTCAACAGTTACGCCGTCATAGACCCGGTCAAATCGCTCCTTCAACTCAGAGGGCTTCTTCCACTCATATTCTGGATCACGCAGCCAGAGTCGCAGGAGGTGCCGCCTGTCGAGAAAGGATAATCAGCTCTTCTTCTCTTTTAAGCATCTCGACGCCAGGATACTTACTGTTTCTCGTTGGAGTCGGTGAAGGCACCCCTAGCGTGTAAGATGCTCAAGTTATTGGCAAACTGAATGTCGCCCTTGCGAAAATCCAAAGAAATGGAGTGAGCCTCAGCAGTGAAATGAATCGCGTCAAGCGCTTCTGCCTGGGCCTCAGTGAGTGGCGGTATATGGGCTGATCGCTTGCAGTCCATGTACCCTGTCAGATTTCGCCGCGAATACTGAATCATCAATCGCTCTGGATCGTTCCCGGTGGCAGACTGGTAGTAGAGAAGTGGCCGTAGCTTGTATACATCGCCCGTCGGCGCGAAACTAAATGCAGACAAATCTAATTAGTTCCTTTCACCGAGATCTATGGCCTTCTGTAGCAGTGGACTCACTCATCCAACGGCCAAGGCTCAGACAGCGTCTTGATCAGGTCTGGTCGTGTAGCAGCTAGGACATTGTACACGTGGCAAGTACTGGCAAGGTAACTCTCACCACCCCAAGCACCCTCATTGAGACAGAACAGGGCGATGACATCACCAGCATCCGTGTGGAACACTTGCTTGTCAGCCGTCACCACCGGACCAGGAATATCCTTGGAGTTGCATGATTGACTCAGATCCTTGACGTGAGCTATCATAACGTCGGCTGGCCTTCCTTGCCACTTACTATCCTGGCGACCGCGGATCGGGGCGACGTGTGATGAAAGACCAGTGTAAATTATAACGTTCTCTTCGCGTGTGTACTTGTCGACGGGCAGACCCCGGATGACTTTGAATCCATGACCTTCGTGAACCTGCTTCGAGATATCGCGCAATGTAGTATGCAAGTTTGGCAGTGGGAAGGTGTTCGGACAGATTTCGCCCATTGACTTTCCTAGGGCTGATAGAGATTAGAATGAGTTGGAGCCGATGGTCCAGGAAGGAAGGGAAATAACCACATACACTGGAAGTATCGGAGAGCCCCATCGATCTCCGAAATATCCCCAGTGCTGAGTTGATAGTTCCAATCATATCTATCAGCAATGGTTCTTGCATCCCACACTAGGTCACCTGACAGCTGTGTAGGGAAACCCTCAGGAAGATGCATAGCCAGCTCTTCGGTTTCCTGCCTGCGCTTACTACGCGCCAGATATTTGTCATAGTCAGGCATGTAGTCAATATCAGCCTGCTGGGAAATAGTAGAGGCAACCATGGTGGGCGACATATGACCAGGTGTTCAAGGCACGTAGGATTGTAGGAATCCGATGTGGATAGAGACGTGACAGGTGTTGCATCCAAGGACACTGAGTTTTATATTACTCAGGGAGATGTATGGCGTGATAGTACATCGTGAAGCTGGGCTACCTCATTTGCGATCATGTAGGGCTTTCTAAGAGAACTGTCGAATGGTTGGACTTAGAATGTAGTTCTCTGTAAGGAATGGCAACTGCGGCATGTCGGGGTCAGTATCGGGGTGTCGGCGTTACTGTCGGCGTCCCAAGATCTTTGCGGCGTACGTGTAGAGGACCCGCTCATCTGATGAGTTGACGCCATGAATTCTAGTAATAGACTATCAGTCCAGTTTGAACCCTATGAATTACCACCGTCTCGTGTGAGTCGCCATAGTGTTAAGAAGGTTGAATGAAGATGTTGCCCACTGTGATGCTAACTAACTTGTTGTTCCTTGATTAATTAGTCATATTCCCGTCGAGTCTTTGATTGTCGACCCCCTGCCTGGAACCGAGACCTAAGAACATTAATTGAAGGCAAGCAAGTGTAATTGGCTGTTCGGCTTGAATATGCTCGTATCTGAGCGCCATAATGTCGTAATTTTGGAGCAAAATTATGTGATTACTTTATACCGATGATGTTAAGTAGGCCTTCTCTCCTACTGCTCCCATTTGAATGCTCGCGAGACCCTAATTTCGGAGTCGGAGTAACAATCGGAGTCTCACGAGTCACAACCGTTTCCGCCGGAGAGAATAACATCGCACAGCGGGCGGTGTGGCATTCGGTGCAGAAATTTGCAGTCACCGATGCCTCAGGATGCCGACTCCGACATCATCAAATCGACTAACAGCGAAATCAGGCAAGCTCCCTGCCTGTGATCCATGCCGAGCGATAAAGCTGCGGTGCGACCATGACAAACCGGTTTGCTCACGCTGCAGGGAGCGTGGCCGAAGTGCTGATTGTACCTATCGTTCACGACCTTTCAAAAGACCATCTGCTCGGGCTGCAAACTGGCGAAGGCAAGAGAATGATCAGTCTCATAATACTGGAGTCACGGCCGATGAAACTGTCAACCCTCCAGCAGCTTTCCAATACCCCAACCCAGGCTATTTAGGCTCGTCAAGTCATACAACATTCTTCGATCAATTGCAAATCCAGAAGACCGCAGAATTAGGCCCCACGACTGAAATCAATTCACACCCAAATCCGGCCGATGACTATATCTTCGATGACACCTGTATCGCTAAAGGTGCCGAGCTAATTCTCGAACTGCACCGAGAATCATTGATTCCACAGTTCACTCAGCTTTTCAGAAGATGGATAGCTACGGGGACCAATCTTGCTTTAGCTGGCCCGTTGACTACGCCCTGCGCATCTACAACTTCTCACCTAATCTCAAACTTTGATGGAACACATGCATCGGCAACGACTATTTCCAAGCGCCTCTTCTACAATTCCCGCTGTTCTCTCCGTCTCAACCATGACACAACATTGGACGAATACTGTGCTAACTTTTGTGGGCCTCATGTGCGATGGGAGACCTTGGGTCTTTTTTGTACCGCTGTCTGTCGAGCCTCTATTGACTTGACTTATGCAGAACCAATGTATGGCTCGGAGCAACAGCGTCGTAGAATTCAGAAGTTGACCCTCTCGTACTCGGATCAATTCTTGGATCTATGTTTACCCCTTGACTGTATGAATGACCTTCAACTTTTTCTAACCTACGAAAACTTCATATCTCATTCGCAGGTTGATGGCGACCAAAGTATGTGATCCCGATTCCCGACCCCCAAAAGACAAAGGAAAAATGAAATTCCAGCTACACATGTATTACTAAATACTGATTTGATATGAATGATTCCAGGCTACTTGTCCTGGAGGAAATTGGGGGATGTCGCAGCGGCTCTTTTTGCCCTTGGTTACCACCAACAGCAAACAGAATCCTTTCGTGCAGCTCCTGCATTCCTACGAGATCTGCGTCAGGCCGCCTTCTGTCGAGCATACTCTGCCGACAAAAATGTTTCCATTTTTCTTGGCCGCCCACCTCGAATCCTACGTAGGTTCTGTCATTTTTACCTACCGGGTGATCTTGACGCGAATTCACACGAGGCATCCCGCAGCCCAGCAGTTTGGCTTGATACTCAAAAGCTGGACTTTGCTACTGATTCGAGATGGGCTGGTCTCTGTGCCATTCTGAAGGATGATATATTGGACCTGTTCACCGAGGACAATTATGATGAGAGGGCCCGAAGAGCATGGTAGGTTGAGTTCTGTGTATAAAACCTTAAATGTAGTACTAACCCCAATAAGGTTGATAGAGGCTGATATTCAGGCCCAATGGCTGGCGGTTCCTCGAAGCTGCCGGCTGGAATGTGGCCTTAAAGCCTGTGATCGACGACCAGTAGAACGAGACTTCATGGTTAATATGAAGTTGAACTACCTACATGTCCAATTCCTTCTAAGGCTTGCATTAGTCCGACCTATGTCTACGGAGCCCGACTCCGACTTGCTCGATATATCCTTGAAGATGCTGGGCCTTGTTGCAGAAACCATTCTACTCAAAGACCAGATAGTGAACTCTGGTACATCGCTCGTATGGAAGGTGGGTTCCGTTTGCATCCAAAGTTGCAATATCCTGTCTAACGAGAACGACTTCGAAGGTCGCATACTACGGCTTGTCCGCTGCGGGAATGATTTGTCTAACTCTTGTCAAACGCTCATTCGCCATCCAGAGCTTCACAACAAGCTTTTCCAAGATATTCCAAGAACTAAGCATCCTTGCCGCAGAAATCGAACGCGGAACCTTAGTATATATAGACTCCCCCAACTATGCCTTGCTAGCTCGCGCGACCCAAACCATAAAGGCCATCCTGGATCGGATGATGACGCCTTCATCAGACAATACGATGGTCGCCTCAGATAACCGAGTGCAGCATCCACCTGCCTCCGAGCAAAGGGAAACTCTAGATGACGGATCCTGGTGGCTATGGGACAATACCAACCTCCAAGAATTTGAGCTCAGTTTCTGGCACAATCTTGCTGGCCACCCGTCGCTAAACTAATAAAACGCACTTCCATACTGGTAGTACATTGATTATGATCAGGTATGCATTGGTTTCGCGTTAGGGCTTATGTGTGGCGAGCTGTATTTATCAACAAAATGACGTGGATGTCACACATGGTAGAATCCAAACGAAGAGTACAACATCGGTTCCTTGTCTGCAGATTGCTTGGCGGATTCTACTGCCACTCAAAGGTTAAGTAAAGGCCTTGACACTAGTCTACTGGCCTTTCTTTGTGCACAGGTACCACAGCTCGCTGCTGTGCATTATTTACACATTACGGTATCCTGGCATTTACAATTTAATCCTTGTCGGAAGCAGAGCTTTACTGTTCGATTTGAATATAGCCCCGAGTCTTCCAATACCTTGTTGTAGCATATGATGCTATTACCAATCTATGTAATTTGGCCATTACTCGCCTAACATTGATAAAATCTTTCAAAACATCCAGCGCATGACTCCTTTGAGCAAAGCTAACATCCATGTTACGCACCTTAGCCGACCATTGTTCGGACATCCCTCGGAGACATGCAAGCCGCGATCATCAACGTTATCTTCCCGCTGGTATCGGTCCGTTTCCAAGTCAATCTCACCAAGAGGAACAAGCTTGGTTCTCTTGTAAAGCTTCCAAATCAAGAATAGGGAGCCCATGATTGGGATCTCAATATAGTATGATACGAACCCAGCGGCATCGAATCTTGGACTAAAGGATTTCCAGCCCTGTATGAGTACCAGAAAGAGATTCAACCCGGCAGCTAGCGCCGGGCCCCACGGATACGTGACATTTTTGAAAGGTAGCAGGTGTTCGAGGCTTTGATGTCGGACGGCGGACCGGAAACGCAGCGAAGTCAGGCAGATGAAGAACCATGATATCTGGTTTGACACCCCCACCAGGTTCTGCAGCCACGACCAGACCTGACCGGCACCAATTTTACTTGCCCCGAAGCAGAGGGCACTGATAGCTGCGGTCGAAAGGACTGACACCCATGGGACATTGAATCGGTTAAGGTGGCCCAAGAAATGAGAACCGGGGGTGTGACCGGTAATGGCAAGGGTGTAGAGAAGGCGTGCGCCGGCGAAGAGGGCGTGATTGGCAGCAGATATTGCACTGGTCATGATTACAGCATTTATAAAGCTGCCCGCCACGGTACTGCCGGCTTTGTCGAAGACAATGGTGAAAGGACTGGTGGAAGCACTCTCTGTCGATAAGCCAGGATAGTTGTAAGGAATATCGAGACCGATGATGATGATAGATACCACGTAGAAGAGAAGAATGCGCCAGAAGACATTGCGGATGACACGAGGATAGGTCTGAGATGGATTCCGTGTCTCGCCAGCTGTAACGGCCACATTTTCGGTTCCGCCACTAATACTTAAAATCAGCGATCATAATCCAGATTTGCTTGGGCCATACATGTGAGTGTTACTAAGCGAAGGAAGCTGTCACAAAAACGGAAGCGAAGCCTCCAATTCCCCCGACAAAGGGCGCGTCCCCGGTGTAGAAGTATTTAGCACCCAGGTATGTTTGATCAGTATTAGCGCCACAGTTCACAGCAATCCCGACAATGATGAAGACCTAAATGTCATAAGATGAAGGCACGGATGTAAATGACGGGCTTGCGCACATACAATGATGGTCACGACTTTCAGTAATGACAGCCAGTATTCGATCTGGAGGGATGATTAATAGAATGTCACATCTCACTCTTCGTTCTCACCACAATACCTCTCCAAAGATCCTGACTGAGCAGATATTCAGGGTCAGAACAAGCGCAAGGCAAATGAGGCTTAAGCCCCAGCCAGGGAAATGCTTCGTCCAATATTCCAGCAAGACTTGCAATGCTATAATGTCTGAAGCTGTGGAGATAGCGTCATTTGCCCAGTAATTCCACGTTAAGGCGAATCCAAGCGCATCGTCGACGAAACGCCTAGTCAATGTCAGCAAGAAAACCGAGAACGACGCTTTCATTGATGCTCGGCATACCCTGAAAAGGTGCAAAACGACCCTGCAACAGGCATGAATGCTACCATCTCTCCCAAAGAGAGCATGGTAAGGAAAACAATGCCACCGCAAATAGTATATGCCAACAGTATCGACGCAGGTCCTCCAGTTGCCAGCGCCTCGCCTGTTCCCAAGTATAGCCCTGTTCCTATAGTACCTCCAATGGCAATCATCTGAACTTGTCTAGGGGACAATTTTCGAGCAAGTCGATTCGGTCTAATTTCCTCTAACTCTCCATCCATAGGACCAGCTGGAGGGACTGGTCTCGGAGTACTGCCGGGTTGCAGCTTTTCGGCGTCGAAAAATGACATTTTGGTGGGCGAAAGCAGCGGTGCTCTTAGGAATTCATTTACTGCTGGTCAACGAGCGTTGCTTTGTATATATGTTACCGGATGTGAGGATGCATTCAATACTAAATGATTGCCACTGTTGGATGCTGTGGGTCTATCAATCCCCGCTAGCCAGTCGGCGGAAGGACAAATGAGCAATCCAACCTTCCTGCTTTCGTCATTCGACACTCCGAAGCCTAGGGTCAATGGGGTTAGCTGATATTCTATCCCGTGGCCGCTAAATGCAACATTCTTTTGACATATTGCCAACTTGCATGCTATCGAGGTGAGCGGTAACCATGTGTATATGCTAACGGTACTACCAAACTTCCTACAATGGCATTTGATTATCAATATAGAATCGAACATGACCGTATAATGGGAGTTTGGGTGTTCACACAAATGGAAGCTAAATTTATATAGATGTCTTTCATGCGTATGTGCATCTCAATCACATACAGGTCGGCTTTCTTGCCTGCACATGTTCTTCGTTACTACCTATTTTAGTAGTATGAACAGGACCTCAACCGTGACTGCGCCCAACAAAGTATCATAGCCATTGATATGCTCCCGTGTGCTCCCTATGTTACGAAACTTAGAGGTTTTACCTGCTACTTATACCTAGAGCTGCTTTGAAATCTTCGTAGGTAGCTGGTTTACTTGAAGATTTCCAGGGAATCCCAGATCCTTCGTAGTATAACACCTCCAAGCCAATTAGCAAAGGCCAGATGCATGGTCAAAAATACAATGAACAACTAGCCATTAAACTTTCAGGCATGCGGGGATCGCAATATAATGATGCATGATGAGGCAAAGTAATTCTGATTGGCGTTACCCAAGATAAAGAATATGTCTGCAGCGTGGGATCTGATACTTAGATTAATGGTACCTAGATTGCTCAGTATGATCCTCTTCCTGCATGCTTAGGTTGACGCTAGGGAGAAGCCATCGCGTGTCACATTATTAGTCTGGAAGAAATAGGTCCAAGCTATGCTGTCAGTATATGGAAACTGTGAGACTTGTCTTGCTTTGGCTACTTCGAAGCTCATGCTGGATCGGGTTGTTCGGGGTAGTCTAACAGTACTAAAAGTCATGTCTGGGCTTTATTGGAGTATTAGACGTCTAGTAACATTAGGGAGAATATATGAGTATTGATACCCAAAGCGATTTCCCAAAGCGATTTCCCGTAATATTTTCTGTCGAGATTCCGGGGATATGGTCTGCAAGCCCAGGAGCGAAAAGGCTTACTCTGAGAAGAAAAGGCACACGATGTAGATGTGGCAAACAAACATCTGACCGGATAGTTTGCCAGTCTAAATGAAGATACTGTCATTGTGGTAACATACTGTCATCTGTCCGGGCGGGCTTCAATGGTCATCTACGATGGCCCCTAAAGATGAGGACCACCACAAATCCTAGCTACTCAGCCACTGTCATAACCTATTTAGCTAGGGAAGCTCTGATAAGCGGCATATATCCTTTGGATTTCTGTAATTGCATCATGTTTACATTAGACTGACGCAGCATTGAACCTTGGTGCTGACTCTGTTCTTTAAGGGATAGCTAGCACGCTATGCGTATTACTGTAGGCGGATATATTTGTAGTACACCCCCCAGTGCAGTCTCTCGACCTGAAACAACTGACTGCTACCACCTAGACACCTAACGCTTAGTCTGACACATGATATGAGTCATCAACTACACACGTAGCGGAGCTTTAAGGCGCACCTCTTGGAAGAGTTCGGTCAGAGTACCTTGGATGTTCAATGACAGAAACAACCGTACTATACACGTCAATCAGTAGCCAGTACAGAGCTGTAGTAACCTAAATCGCGCACCCACAGTGTGCTCAATACCCGAGGATCATCTTCGGGGATGCGCAGGTGCAGCCACAAGAGACTAAACACTAATCGAGACTAGGGATCGGCTAGTTCTCCGATAATGTCGGGGGAATTGAAAGGGGCAGCCGAACACCGTTAGTCCAAAATCATCTCTTATACCATGTTCCTTTCCTTTCCTCTCAGTCATTTAATACCACTCTTCCGAAGGACGATTGTGTTCTATGATTTGAACTTTTTCTGCCTCTCGATCAAATCCATCCACCCCCATTGGGCTGCATACGTCCAAGGTCTCCGGTTTAATGTAAGTCCTCTATCTGCGAGGCAGACATTTAAACAAGGCCTATTCTAACGCTCTGCGAAGACAGCTTGAAGATGATTGTGACGCGCGGAATATCATTGACAAACTTTGTCGTGGCATCGTCGGCACTCGCATTCCAAGTCTTTGTCCTGTATCCATGGCACAAGCAGCTCGACGACGGGTTCGAGGCCCTTAAGAAAGAGCACCTTCGAGTCTTAAAGTCTCTCGAACAGCTACAACATGACAGTCGGAAGCAGCTTGACGAACGATTGGCTTAAAATATGGATGGATCATTACGGCAAGATGTGGCGATAGAATAGACGGATTCGGTTAATAAAGCACAGCATAGACACGGCCTCCTTCTCGATAGTAATATCGAGTTACGGAGCCAACGAAAGGTATATACTGGGGATAATGTACATGGGTCTCACAATGAGCTTATCGAGTGTCTTGTACTTCCCAGACTATGAGAAACAATATAAGACTTCCTTAAAAGATGACAGCCTGTAACATTAAGCCACTCTTCTTACTTGATGGCCTAGATACGAAAGTGATGTGTCAATTAAACTACGATGCATTATGTGTCGAGGAAATGACTACCGCAGGAATTGAAGGTTTCTGGCGCGGATATGGCCGCTATGATCGGAGCGAACTCCGGTCGGCCTTGGTTAAAGACACACATAGCCTCCCCCCCTTCCCCCCCTTGGGTAACGGGATAGGCGTAAGGTAGAAATTGATTATTATCTCATAATAAAGCAGGCATTGATATTGCTCCCATCATTGGTCAATGTGGGTCTTTCCGCTGTATCCCAAAATACCAAACCCCTTTTGGATGATCTGGCCGGAGATGGTTCGTATCAGTCGGATCCGACTGATAAGGAACCTCGTGTCAATCATTACCCCAAAAGACAAGAATGAAGAATAGGTCCTTACTACCAGTAGGCTCTTACATACTTCCCTGTCCCTTCGTAGACAACGTCTTCCCGGCTTTTCCACACGCCGGCTAACTAACTACTTTTTATACTGTGTGACTTATCAGCTGCGATTGTCAAGATTTATGCCACAGGCATTATTTCCCAAGCGTCGGGAACCTAAAGGGTTCGTCACCCAGAGAGTCAAGTCTTACTTGTCGGAGAATGCAGATACATGCATAATAAAGTCTTTGTCTTTTCCATGACTTGTCTTATTGAGCGAGCGTCATTGGGATCCTCGCGGAGGAAATGGGACTATCTGCCGAAACCGGAACCCTGGCCAAATTGCAGGGTCAACGAGCTACTTGGGAAACGGAAGTCCGTGACTCAAGTCCCATGCAGAAATATCATGTATGTGGATTGAGCCAACGACTACTGGCATGTTGAAATGGATGAACTTGAAACGCCACACTGATAAAAGCAAGCCTGTTTACCAAGATCTTCCTCGGCTGTTGGTTGAAACTGTGGCGGTAAACTAGTTAGCTATCGCCGAATACCTAATGCATAAGCGAAACCTGCAGGTCACGCCGACCGTGGCCGGAAGGCATTGGAACACCGATACGTTCCATGTGTTAGGGATGTTTCTCCATCACGCATAGAATATCAACACGCCGCCCAGAAGAATCTCTGTTAACTGTTAACGAGTCATATTTCACCGGTGAACAGGCGTCCACGCGAAAGGCAATGCAAGTGAATGACTAACAATGAGGTCTGGATGCGCTAGTGTCTTGAGCATGGAGCGGATCCGAATACGAGGAACATGAACATATATCAGGATGTAGCAAGTCAAACTGTACGTTTTGTCTCAATGTCCAGGGAGCTTGCCTTGGGAGCGTATAATGCTAATGAAATCAGATTGGACAAGTAAACCGCTACATTACGTACCGAGTACCTCGTCATTATGTCATTGTCGATTTTCATGTTGAAGAATATCGTACATCTAGTAGACATTATGAGAGTCTCAGCCACACGATGAAATCCGATCAAGGATCCATGTAACACTCTAATCCGTACAGGTTACCGATCACATCTCTGGTCATGTTATGAAATACGAGGCTACTCTCTAGACAGTGACCTCTGTCCCGATAACGCTGTGACTGTCGCGGATAATGCTGTCCTTAACCCACGAGCCTGCATTGAGTATGATATCGAAGGCGGCACATACCTGGAGACCAGAATATTGGCTGGTGATTTTTATCATGATTTTCTTAGCGATAGGGAAGACCGCATTCTATAACCATTGTAGAAACAAATGCGGAAATGAGTAATCTGTCTGAAGCTTCCTGCTCAGTCATTCCAGACAAAACATAGGTTTCCCAGTGTTTGTCGCCTGAACAATAAGTGTGATGCAGGCCATAAGACTGTGTGACATGTGCTCTACTCTGTCAGGCAGTTATCTAACATGGATACAACACCGTCGGCGGCTAAGAAATAACCTGATTCTGTGAGTTTGAGTCGTTCTTTTTGTGAATCAGGTGATTATGTGGCACAACGGCCCTTGCAGCGTGCAATTAGGGGCACAACGCCACAACCTTATGGTGAACCGATGACGTAGCAGACAGGTCATGACAGAAGCCGGAGAGGAAGTTGCGCAGTAATGTACTCTACATGGCTTATAGCTTCAGTTGGGATGGTAGTATCTTCTTATGGTGTATTGCTGATGGTCGCCGTGTGTATAATGGGTGAATCCATGTATCTAACATCCCAAAACGTGTGACGCTGAAGGTCACTACTACTTAGCTAACACCATATGACTTCGTTGTATGCAACAATCAATGTAATCTTATTCAAAAGTCGTAGAAATAACACTGGCATGAAATGGTCATCCGTCATGACGACGGTACGGGGCTACTAAACAGCGAGTTCCCCAACCCAATTTCCTAGGCTTTCCAAACTCAGAATTAGAAACGCAATTCAAATAAGATTTAATCACAATTGAACCCCGAGGGGCAAGGGGTATAAAGCGGGTCAAAATCGTACATCTGACCGTTCCTGCTTACCCCCTATCCAACTTTCCTTTAAGGTTGCCATCGTCTAACAAGCTGCCAAACATTGCAGCTTCAAACAAGTAATTGACCTGGAGTGCATGCTGACAGGCATGGGCTATTAGCCAGCTCATCTCACTGACCAGACCCTTCGAGTATGTTGTTGCTATTGTAACTGAGAGCTGTTCAACCAAGTGCTGCTCCATTTCCTCGTCAATATTACCAGCTGCCGCATATTGCAGCACTGCTGGTGAGAGGAACCACCACAAAGTTGACAGGCTTGGGTCAGACCATGATTGCAGCTGTTGCTGTACATGATCGCAGTATACATGCCCATTACAGGAGTTCTGGAGAGGTCGGCTGAAACCAGTTGTCCGGTAATCGCTATCGAATGTTTCGCCAAAGTCTGCCTCCTTCTGGCAAGTATATGTTTTCCGTGCCTTGGGGTAGCCGAGCAACGCCCTGCGAAGGAAATTATGTCTGCCATTAAGGATGTGCCAGGGGTATAGTATCATGGCCACTTTTGCACATGGATCGGACCAGCGTTCAGTCAACATTCTAGCACTGTTATATGCGTATGCATCATAGACACGTCTCAGCTTTTCCTCAGTGATTACGTCCTCATCACATATATCTGCTGTATTTAACAGTGCGTTGAGGAGCTCTGAGTTGAGAATATCGGATCCAACATCCACAATGTCTGTTAACGAAACACTCTGCAACAAGTCATGTGCTGTGGCAGCACAATCAAAGCCGCGTGCTATCGCCTCAACGCCACACTGCCAGATAGAACTCTCGCAAATCCATAAAGGTAGCGCCTGGTCACGATTGACGCGTGCCACTTTACCCGAAAGTTGTGTGACGTATTGCTCCTCTAGTGATGTCTTTTCTCTCGTGTATCGCAGGGCCAAACCCGCGGCGGTCCTTCGATCTCTGCCGCCTGGCGTAACTAGCGCCTGGGGGTCATGAATTGCCTGTTCGAGGGTCTTCACAAAGTCGGGAAACACTTGGTGATAGGCATGCTCCCAAAAAAAAATCATGTCAACACAGTAGTTCGAGTAGAGTGTGTGGGCGTCGTAGGCTCCACACAACATATTGAACAGGCCACTTCCGAAGAGTGCGGCTCGCGTTAAGAGCGGCTCAGGCCAATTCCGTGCATTCAGCAATTCGACTACCTTCTCTGGCACTCGTGCCAGTCCGTTGCCTTTGGGTGGTAATATCCACCCATTATGTTGTTGATCAATCCGCCATTGCTGCAGCTCTGGTGATAACTTGAGATTGACTACTGGGCAATGAGTAGTATTCGACGTTGAGGGTTCATTTATTGACTCGAAGATAGACCTAAGTTTCTGCAGGCCGCTATCAACCATTATTTCAAGTCGAGCAATGGAACAATCACCCATTAGGTTCCGACATTCTTCATATCCGGCCACTGGAGGAGGTTTCGGCACATGGGTATTGCCCCAGAAATAAGGTGGGGTTTGCTTGACAGCGTGGGTGGGCTGCATCGTGTTCTTTGAGAAGGTCTCTTTGATCATATCTTGCTGGGATTGGTTTGAAGGAGTCATTTGAATACGAAGTATAGAATCCACTTAGAGTTGACGGAATGTAGTGAGTGATGCTTCAAGAAACGTTATGCTGCGCTTGCTGTTTATATGTGTTTATAGACTAGCGCTAATAAGTGTGACGTTGATAAACATTCCAGGCCGATGTTGCATTACTAGGTCCCAAGGAAAATGATAGTAACTACATCTAATCTGCTGGCCGCGTAAGACCCGGGTTCCAGTAACTACTGATGTAATAATACCCGGTCAGGAAACATTGGGTTGCAATGATCCGATTTTCGCGCAAGGGACTGAAGATCAAATGGCCCTATCTGGTCACACACATATTGAGACCCATATCTCACATCCCACAATTTGCTCTTGCCCCTCCAATGATCTATTGGATAAAGCGTGAAAATCTAACGTTTGGTCTGTCCAATAGCCAGTGATGTAGCTGAGTGATGGACGTTTCCTCTGCTACTCAGTATCGGTGTCCGTTCTTATTGATAAGGTCACAATTTGCAAATCGGTTGCTACTGCCAACGGACCAATCGTAGTTGTTGCTTAAATGCAACGTGCTCAAATCCGTAATGAGCATCGCCCATAATTGTATGAGAACATAGTCATCTCAACCTATTATTTCACGCGCGTTTTGACTATCCCTATCACACCACCAAGTCTACCTAAGTGCAGGGACTGCAGATGATCAGCGTCATTTAGGTGGTTATTTTTGCTCTAGGAAATGCCGCAGCCTCGACATACATCAAAGTTCGCTTGGATGCCTTTTAAAAGAAACACTCATTTCATATCCTCTCTTGTTCTCAAATTCACTGGCAGTGGAGTCTTGACCCAGACAGCATATGTCTCTTGATCCTCCCAGCGTCCGAGTGGCCCCTCTGGCTGCACGTCAAAGTGATACAGAATTTTGCCCAGAATGAGGACGATCTCCATGCGGGCCAAATTCTGACCGATACAGTCCCGCGGGCCTTGTAGGAACGGCTGCGTAGCATGTCGCCGGTCCTTCTCGAAGGGGTCATCCGGCGGAGATGAAACCGACGGGCGCGAGTTGAGCCAGCGCTCAAGGTGGAAGGCCTGAGGGTCGGTATAGTTCTGTGGGGAGACATTGGCAGCCCATTGCATGTAGGAGACAACGGTCTGTAATTTATCGTTAGCTTCTATGAGTCTAAATTGTCTCCTTTCCCCACTCTGGGCCAGAGCAGACACGCAAGTAATGAGAAAGGTGGTGATAATATTGACTTACCCCCTCTGGAAAAAATTCCCCATTGATGGTATGGCCCCCAATGGGAACCAGTCGAGTCAACCCCAGGGGTACGGGGGAGGTGAGACGGATGCCTTCCTTGATCGCTGCTTCTAGTACGGGCAGCCTGAGCAGGGTTGACACGTTTATCTGATCGGCAGAGGGAAATGCACCGCGCACCTCGCTTGTCAAGCGATCCATTATTGTTGGATTCCGAAGGAGGTGAAAGAGAATGCCAGTGATGGCGGTTTGAAGTGTGTGGCTCCCAGCAACAATGAGAGTTGCGGCGTTCACTACCATCTCGCCTTCGGAGATTTCCCGGCGGGATTGCTGCTGCACAATGTGTGCTAGGAAATCCGGCCTAATAGCCCTTGGCGCATCATTGACTCCCGTACTGGCATCGCTTTCCAGCTGCTGTAACCGGTGCTTTACCCTCTCTTTGGTTGTGGCTTGGTGTTGGGCCATGAGCACACCCGCAGATTTTGGGAGCCGCTTGACAAGGTAGTTAAACAGCCAGGGATAGAAGCGGCAGGAGGCTAGCTGGACTTTGGCTTTGAGCGAGTAGACGAGTTGGCCCACCCATTCGTGGTAGCGTTGATTGTCCAAACAGCCGAAATCTTCGCCGAAGCTTAATTTGCAGACGATATCAAAGGTGCAGAAGCTGATCCACTCTTGTAGATCAACCTTCTGCGTAGCTAGTTTGCTCTGGGACTGCATCTGGGTGATCATCTTGTCGACGTAGCTGGCAACGAGCGGCTCCTGGGCGCTTAAGGCCTGGCTGCTGAAGGCGGCCGCATAGGCCTTGCGGAGTCGTGTGTGGTCAGCATCGCCCGCATCGAGGATGCTAATGGGCTGCCCTGGCCTTGGAGGTGCCTGGCGGATGGGATCTTTGGGAAGTGACTTGAAACCGCCGCCGCTCGGTCGGCGCTGATAGATGTCTTTGACAGTGTCGGGGTTGATGAAGGACACCTCATTCGGGGCAACGCGGACGGTCTCGCCATAAACCTCGTGAAACGATTTTATTTTGTGCGCTAACTTCCCATTCCGAAATGCCAGCATATACGGCACACGGGTTAATGCCCAGAGAAGCGGTCCATTGTACCGAGATAGCGGGTGGAAGTAAAGCCGCTTCAGGGCCAGGAGGATGGGAAGCTAGAAGGCGTGGGTCAGAGAATGGAACAAATTTCTAGTCCTTGAGGCCGCAGTGGGCGCGAGTGGTCTTACCAGTAGGGCGGTGATGAGAATGGCATTAACTGATGAAGGGGCTGCCATGATCGTGCGCAGGATGTAACAGAAGCAAAGAGTAAGAGGCGAGGGAAGACGGCCCAGGAGAGCTGGATCGCGGAATTGCCATAGTATTTAATATAAGCTGCCGCGCAGACAGAAATCATAAAAGTCGAATCTGGAAGGCATTGGCGTGTGTCTCCACTGAAGCTCAATAACAAATGAGGCCCAAGCAATTGACAAGCCTTCGTGGGGAGCATTCTATGCGGATGAGAATTTAGTGTGGCCATTAGCTTGAATGGAGAGACCTGTGTGTCCAAGAGGCTCTATCATCCATCCAATACTACTCCGTACTATTAAGAATGATGGCTGATTGATGGGGGATGACGGTGTGCAGATCCGTTGTCCCGTGCTCAAATCTAGTCTATCAGGCAGCAGTAATTAACACCATTAGAGGACCGACCATCAGCTAGGAAACAACCTGGTGCATTCGAACAAAGAGAACGCCGATCTCTTTGAGGGCTTTTGGCCGAGTTGCTGAAGTGGGAAGGCAAGGGCACAGCGGGCGATCCTAAATCCTGTTAACAGTGCGGCTCCACTGCCTCGTCGACAAGCTGAGCCACGACAACTAACCCTTGACTCGCCTCGCGATCGGATTCGACTTCCCTAGCTATATTGTCGACGAAGTAGGAATAGTTTAACAGGATATGTATAATCCCCGTGAAATTCATTGTTACGCTCTAGTAGAGATTTTACTTGTGGAGTCCCAAGCTGCTGCGCCTGTTGCTATGAAAGGCCATCCTGGAGCCAGGCATCTTAAAGGACACCCGTAGGACAGCATCCTCGTCCTGTGCCAGTCAAGGAAGCCAACACCTGTCATGTTGGTGCTTGGCCGCCAGGGCAGTTGGCGATGATGAGTTAACCTTTCGGCTCCACCCGGCAGCGTCCACGGCCCCCTCTCATAATAATGGTATCTGATCTCCCACTCGAGATTGGTTAACGCGACATGAACCCCTGCTCCCTATGTTTGAACCAATGGAACTAGCAGAAATGAGCCCTCCTAAGCGAGCCACGGAGACTACTCATCTCATGCCGATCGTTTGCCCGTTCCGTTGGGCGCTAAAGAAGGCCGTCCAGGTTTGGGCGGGGAACGTGGCCGGAACTCAGGGCTGGCAGCCTACTACGAAGTACTATGCCAGCTAAGTTTAAAGGGTGCATCTTAGGGTGAGACAATCTACACCTATCCCGGAATATCACATACTGGATGATGGGATGGCATCCTCTAGACTACCTATACACCATGAAAGATACTCATTTGATTGACCCGAGACAAGGGTCTGGAAGAGGAGATAGCGACTTTTGTTTAGTCGGCAGCCTTGCCATCTGACACCCAGACCTCCTCATATCCCACCCTTCTCACAACAGACGCCTTATCGATCAATTTAGCACCTCTTGATAGTAGGGATCTGCACGCAGGCGGCTCAGAATTTCCCAGTTTTCTAACACAATCTCCGCGTGTCCGTCAAAGGATGCCATTACCTGATCGCTGTCGGCGGGTCCCTGGCCCAGGTACTGCTGGGCCATGACTGGTGGGGTGTGAAACTGGTCGAAAAACGGTATTTAGTACTGGAATAACATTGGGGAGTTGACGTGGGCCTTTGGAGAACATACAAGGGTATAGCGGTATACGCCGTGGCGTGCCAACCAATTCTTCAACAACGGAGCGTGACTAGCAGTCCAGGTGCTTATGAGAAGCGATAAAGAGCGACAGTGTCAGCACAAGCTTTCCAATATGGCTTGTAGCTGGACTTCGAGCCGAGCTTACTGGCGAAATTCTTCCGCAGTGAGAGACGGATGCCGCTTCACATAATTGTCGAAGCGAATTAGGTGCTTGGTCATTGTCATCTTCGTAACTAAAGAGAAAACGACATGTGTTTGCCTTGTGCTAGAAGTGGGAGCAACGGGCGCAAAGGAAAGGGCTGTGAGAGAGCATCTGTCGGTCAGGGTAGTGCGACTCTTATATCTTGCGGTGCCCAACAAGGATAGAATCAGTACCATAGTACGCATTACCCATCTGCCGGTGTCTATAGGTACGGTCTAAAACACCGAAAGTGAAAGATATCCATGGTGAGCCAATCTATCTCGTTACTCGCTCTTGAGTTGGTTGCGTCCCGTGGCTTATAGAGTATTCCTAGCAGTATTGTCCCGCTCTGTAGGATTCGGGGGGAAGACAAGGACAAATGGAGCCTAACTAATAAATCATTGCGTACTTGTGCAGGAACATTGCACTCTCCGCGGACCAACTCCGCCTCTCCACCCCAGGCTAGTGCTGTTTAGGTGGAGTCAGGGCTAAGCGACAGTGTGGAAAGTATTGCGGCGAGATCTACTATGATCCAGCCCCTCTGTAAAGGCACCGTGCGACGTAGATATAATGGCGATTCTTGTACATTTCCCAATCACGGTCCTCTCATGAGAAAATCTTGGAATGTTCTCTTGTTTTGGCCATGACGACGATAACATCCACGCGGATCAGGGCTTTTGTTAGGAGTCCTTGTCTGATAGGACATGGCCTCATAAGGCCTCGAACGCTTGAGAGTCTGAGGAAAAAAAATTATCACTACTTCTATGCACTGTTCCATACTATGACTTCCTGTGATAAAGTTTGGAAGAGCTGCCACCCACTACTACAAAAGTTGGCCGACGGATTGAGTACCATCTCATCCTCAGCACACCGGTATTATTGACAAGTACCGTTGGATGGCCATGCACAGGACGAATCTCGGTGGCATACTTAAAAACCGCGGTAATCGAGAAGATTGGGGGGGTGTAATAAACGTAACGGAAATGGTAACGGGCGTAACCAACTCGGTCTCCGAAACCGGCTCGGAGCAAACACTCAATTCTTCCCTCAATAACCTCCGATCGCAATTCATATCCACATATGCCTTTACGAGATCAGGGCATGGAGGACACGAGCAATCGGCCGCGAATCACAAGAAAACATTCAGGCTGCAAGCCTTGTCGACGGCGAGGCAAAAAGGTCAGTTGTCTCCAGGGGTATAAGTAATCGGAGTAATCCTGCTCACTATCCCGACAGTGCGATGAATCAAGACCGCGTTGCCGAGCTTGCGCCCGGCTATCCTTGGAATGTATCTATGGCATTGACTACAGCTTCCATCACATCACTCCGACGAACTTGCAACGACAGCCGACCGCTCTGGCAGTGGGATCCCGGTCAGCTCCTCTTACCCCAAGAATCGCCAGAGCTCTGGACTGTGGGGATAATCTTGAGACGTGCTACATAAGCCACTTCCAGAGGCATGTGCGACATCTCCTCCCCGCTTCCCCTTTTCCATCTGCAGACACAACATTCCACTCCCCATACCTCCGAGCTGCGGCCTTGTGCATCTCCGCATCCAATCTCTCGATGTTGGACGCACAAGTACAGAGCCGTATCCTCGTGGGAAGCCATCGTCAGTCCTGGTTCAGTCCACTGGTCAATAAATTGCATCACGCCAAAGCACGGGACTATCATGATCGCGCATTACAACTCTGCCGCATGGCGGACATGAAAGAGCTCTTGGATGACGCCCCTGCTGTTCTTGTAACACAAATTCTTCTGGCATACTACCATCACGCGTCGACCAACCACCAACGCTTTCGGTCGGCGGTGTGGGATACTGTTGAATTTATCTCTCGGAATAGGGAGTACATCATGCGGTCCCGGGGGGGTATGGAGGCCCTGCAAATGTGGCATCGCTTATGTGTTTCTCATCGTCTGTCTAAACCACCATCACTGCTTCTGGAGGGAGAGGGCAGAAGTTCGTTCAGTCCAAGTTGTTTTCCAGACGCCACGGACCAATTATATCTTGGCACCGTTTTGGGGATGAGCATGGATGACCTGATCTACGACATTCTTATCAAATCTATGGAGATCCGCTCGCGACTACTAGTGTTCCGCTGTGTTGCCTACCATTACCGGATTCCCGAGTCATCAAGAGAGGTTGGTGGTCTCGCGCACGGTCTCCTGACCCAAATGTTAGGCAGACCCTTTGTCCTCGAGGAGCTTTCCGAGGCCCAGAAAGGCTTTGTGCGTGGCTCGCACCTACTGGGGCTGTTGCAGGTGCAAAAGGAACGGTTATCTGTGTGGAAATCTCTCCGGCACACGGAACGATCGCCTGTCAGTCGCCAGGCAGACAACCATCGTGATATTGTGTCTCCAGAATGGAGCCTTGCAACTCATCGATATGCGATGAATACCCTGTATGAGATACTTTGCGAGATGATCTTTGAGGAAGCCTACGCAGTGTATGCACCTGATTTTGCGTTGGAGCAGCACTCTGCCGCGACTGCGCTTCCTCGTCTGGCACAGAACTTTTGCCACATTGTGAGCACCTTAGATTTTTCTGCAGTAGGTACGGCCGATGTCTACACCTTTAGTCTGACCGAAACTTTCCTCCAATTGGTCGTTCTCTGGCGGTCCGATAGCTTGTTTCACTTTATTCTGGACGTTGCGTGGCCGAACATTGAGAGGAAGACTCGAGGCTTCGAGCACTCGCACTATCCCACTCACCTCGCGAAGCGGATCATCTCTCTGGTGGCGGACTATTGGTCCCGGGGGCAAACTGTGACCCTCGTGATGCCCGCCGTGCCAGAGGATATCCCGAAAGTGAGACTCCTCGACCTCAACCATCCAATGGAGATGGTGATATGCGGACATGATCCGGATCACACTGCGTGGATGAACAAGATTCTTCTCCCTTGAGCAAGGGAGCTAATCCCAATCGGGTCAAATTATACGCGGTAACACCGTTACGCGGGGAGAGTGGACACACCCTGCGTACTTCCCGCATTGCTGGTCATGTTTCCATGTTATCCATGTTTCCATAATACTACTCGGTACGGTCGTGGTTATAAAGGCAGCGGGTTGACCATCAAGATTTCGAGTCCCATTCACTCATCACCTATCCCCTCTTTTTAAACTCACAGACATCTTCTCGCCATGCCACGTGCTGTTTGGACCAAACTCCTGTCCGATGTCTCTATTAAGAGATCATCCCAGACTCTCGCAATCCTGGCCAGCAATGCATATATCTATGGCGGAGAGCTGCGGCCGCGAGAACCAGTTGATTCTGCGGTGTACCGTTTGTCTTTGGACGCTTGTAAGTCCCCCATTCTCCCTCCTCTCGTCAGGAGTCATTCAAACAATGCTCGGGGTTAATACAGACTAGCAACATCCAGCAACCGCAATGTCATACAAACTCCCCCGTCTGCCAGTTACCCCCAACCCCGCGTAGGTTCCGCCTCGACCGCGCTTGCTGGGAGACTCTACATCTTCTCTGGTCGGGGCGGTATCGCCATGGCCCCGATCGAGGAATCTGGCACCTTCTGGGTCTTTGATCCGACCCAGAACAACTGGTCCCAATTGGCCCCTGCAACCTCGAACTCGCAATACCCTGTGGGCCGCAGCTACCACACGCTCACCAATAACGGCACGGACACCATCTATCTGCACGGTGGCTGCCCATCCAGTGGTCGTCTACGCGACCTTTGGGCCTTCAACATCCATTCTCGGCAATGGCTGGAGTTGCCCCCGGCACCCGGCCCGGAACGAGGCGGCGCGTCGATCGCGTACGCTGATCAGCGAATCTACCGGATGAACGGCTTTGACGGGACCAGGGAGCAAGGCGGATCCCTAGACGTGTACAATGTACAGACGAACGAGTGGACCAGTTACACTTATGCATCGGATGGAATCTCCGGGCCTAGTCCGCGAAGCGTGGGCTGCTTGCTCGCCACGATGATTGGTGGGAGGCAGTCACTGGTAACAATGTTTGGCGAGCATGATCCCAGTAGCCTGGGACACCAGGGTGCCGGAAAGATGCTGGCGGATATATGGGCGTTTGATCTCCAATCTCAGCGGTGGGCACAGGTGGATATTGCGGAGCCAAACAGACCTCCGGCGCGTGGCTGGTTTGATGCGGACGTCATCAGCCCTAAAGCAGATGCCAATCCTGGAAGCATAGTAATTCACGGTGGACTTGCTGAGTCAAATGAGCGGTTGGATGATGTGTGGCGACTAGATTTTGTCTAGTCCTGCTGTTGTTAGGCAATGGACTATTGTAGGTCTAATTTATACTACATTGCGGTTGTATCTTCACTTGGACTTATATTTAATGATTCTGAGTGCGAAAGCATGTCTGGATGAAACAGGCTGGTAGGAGAATAACAGTCAATGATTGGATGGCTACACTATGTAACATGAGAACTCAAACTGCAGACCATCCAAATCATCTCATGAAGATATCTTGACAGCATCCTCAAAAGGAGAGGCCTTACAACAAGGTTCTGGCTGCAACTGGCTCAGTCAGCACAGTAGAACGCATAATTCTCGACCCCATCAAGTTTACCTTTGTAGTGTTTTAGCGAACGATCTATGCCAGATGACAGTACTTCTCACTTCCCTTCCTATAACTTGCAGGTTCACGGGGCCGATCTCTAGGTACATGATATCTGAAAGCTCCTGTAAAAGTTCCCCTCCTGCCCGCTCAACCGGCCTCCTCCTGCTGCAACGATACAGGCAGGGGTAGCCAACTTCTCAAACTCTCTAAAAGCACCGGTACAGTTCTCCTCGGCGAAAAGATATGGAGCACAGTTATCTGCCAGCCTGGTCACCCACATATCAAAGCTCTCTTTCACAGACACACAATCACCCGGTAGTGTCGTTTGGCCGGTGATAGTTTCCGCAGTAAGGCTACTGCATGCCGGTGCATCTGGTCCACTGTTTGCAATAGCATAGGCTGTGCTATTGAAAATGCGCTCCAGGTCACTGATAAAGAGCGAAGACTTGAAATTCTCAAGCTTTTGTGTCTTTTTCATTGCGATCGAGGCGACGATGAGTGCCACTACAGCGCAGAGGGACAGAATAGTGATGAAAATGTTGTAAAGTAGGGTCTTCGTCTTTGACATCCTGGAATTTCTCTTGGACGAGATTGGGATCTGCTCGACAGAAATGGGTTCAACCATTGCGCAGGGTTGGGTGGCCGGGCCCAGAACAAATCTCTTGTTTCAAATTCTCAATCTTTCATACGCTTTACTTGGGCAGTGTTGTAATTTCTTACCGTCGCCGAAAATCTGAAACTTGTGGCACTTTCAATGAGTGCAATTCAAGTTCTCACGGTCGTTGGGTATTTCAGTACAAAATCAAAGTCTCAAAATATTGACGGAGTGGTTGCTGGTATATCGGTCAATCACCCTCGGACAAGTGGGTCGAACATATATCCTTCTCATGCTATGGATCGCCTTAGGGGGAATGATAAAGCTGATAGAAATTAAATGGCAACCCCACAGAATCCCTCACACATGATCACCTGTGAGCTCCTGGTCCAACGAACAAGGCACCCAATGGTAGAGAGCATGCTGGGACTCTCAACTCAGGCTATTTGTTAGGCTATATTATTTTGAAACCTACCCTATCAGAAATGAAAGACGTTTTGTCAAAATACCTCACCACAAAACGCTCTGCCGCTAATGTAGGGGTCCAAGGGTTCCAGCGATAGGAAGACACCTGCCCAGTAGAGATGCATCTTGGTAGCTCCGCGCTCATGTAGGAACTAAATACTAGGCAAACCCTGCATGTAAATTAAAACATCGGTGATATATCATCTATTTTAGATGAAATATTTCGGTGAACTCCTGTCTTGGAAGTGGATCCCACGAGTGACCACGTAGCATTGGCGAGGAGATCGCACATGGCGTAGATAAATGCCCGCCTAGATTATCCCATCATGAACCAAAAATGCTTATTGTTTTGGCGGGCCAGTAACTGTGCCTCAGCTGAAAGAAGATACTATGGGTAGAATGATATTACTTGTGGGTCTACCTGCATACTAGGTCAGCAAATTGAATCCACCCGCTTATATGGAGAGACGTCTGAGAACCGGACTCCGTCGGCCATGCTGATCCCCACGAAATTAGCCAAGGTGGCCCGTCGAGTAGCTGAAAATGAGGGTCAATGAAATCAACCAATCTGTACCTCGTACGACCATTCGGATTTCTTCCCCGGGCAGATAATGTTAAGTCGTACGGCATTTTGCCGTTCAAGGTTATTTGCTATATTCGTAGAATCAGGTGCAAACGTACCTGTGGCAGGGTAGTCGGGGTTTACTCCAAACTCGACTTTTCTTGACCAGAATAGCGAACAGGGTCTGAGAAAGTCTTAGTTCGAGAGCATAGGCAGAGACTCATACTTGTGAATAAGATTAATTGTCTATCCTATATAATTCATCCTCTAGCATATGTGCAGCGACCGTATTATATAAAAGTGACATATTCGCCCATTCGGTGAGTTGAGCGGTTCACAATAACTCCCACTATATTCCCCCCGAAGAAAGCATACTAATCATAACAGCAGATCGAGACAGCAACAACATGCAAAGGCCGAAAGAAGGCCTGTGCAACATTCCTCTTCTCCTGACGCTTGGTTACTCTGCTGTATACGTCCTGGGGGGACTTGTTGAGCCGCCATCGGGGCTGGATATTGCATCGACTGTGGTGGTGGGCCTTGTGGTGGATAAGCCGGCCCTTGAGGGTATCCATAGGTTGCAGCTGGTTGGGGCATTTGGGGAGGAGGGCCCGCGTAGAAATTTGGTGGAGGACCAGGCTAGAGGCTGTTAGTCGACTGTCTCACCTCACATAAGCTTTCAAATCTGACCGGAGGCTGGTATTGACGTTCATTTTCTGCCATGTTTCCTTATTCGTGGATATATGACAACCTATACTAGACTCCGAGGGGCTTCCAAGCTCCGGACGACGTGTATGGCTGCTGATTTGCACTGGAGGGAGAACAATAGTGTAGAGTAAAATCAAGAGATAGGTTTACAAGAAATATGAACCCACTAATGTACGCCGTAAACATCGCCGCCGGAAGAATATAACTGCCTGTTCGCACGGAGAAGCCGGAACCCAGTGGATACTCCCGTTCGTCAGGCCTCAAGAACCTACCAATCGCCAACTAGATAACCCAATTCCGAGGTATACACCATGGTTGAGCTATTATCACCTATACAGGGCCAGATGCTGGGATCTATCCAGGAAATGTAATGGGGAAACAATCCGGCGTATGCATAGAGGTGATGATAGTCCGCCATAGTCGAGGACATTACTTGGACTAATGTAAGTTGCGCCGCCAACACACCGACAGCGACATACTAATTGTGAATCTCTTCAGAGGTAATACTTCAAGGCTGGGAGGAAGTTCTCAGGAATAATCGGATCAGACTGAAGCTATCGCGACGGGATGGGTTCCTTGTGGCTCGGAAATTCACTGGAAGGCTCCCTGGGATTCGTTGCCACGTTGACTAGCTGCACCGCCTCCGGCAGGACTTTCGGCCGGCTGAATATGAAACAGGATGCGTTGGATGCTCTCACCATCAACAGTGTGGTTCCCCAGTTGTTCAGCATGGTATAGACAAGTCTCTGCGGTGTTCGGGATGATGTCAAGTGGCGCAGGCGCCTAAATACTTTGCCGGCCAACTCGGCCCGCCATATCCGATGCCTTATTTAAAGGAAGATATAGATCCACTCGGTATGTCCCGTCTGTCATCTTTTATTCTCAATCACAACATAGACCAGTAGTACTTACTTCAGTGCTTACGTTCATTTCATCAAAATATTCCCCGAAGTTATCCCAACTCATAAGGCGTCAAGAATGCCTCCACCTGCTCCTATCGTTCCCGAGGGCTGGAAAGCCGAATTTGATGACCGATATCAGGAATGGTAAGCACCTACCGTGATGTTTTTGTTTTTCTTTTTCCACTCAACACTTCCCGTACTAATGGCCCTGTTACCGTTTAGGTACTATGTCAATCTTCACACCGGACGCTCGCAATGGGAACGGCCAGACCGGCCAGCCCAGCCTGATGGCGCGGCTCCTCCTCCCCAGGGTCCCCCGCCCAGTTACGAGGCCACCACGCGTGATCGACAAGATCCTGATCCACGAGCTCGGGATCGTCCGGATGCCTCCTACTACGTCTCCCCGCGACCTGCGTCGCAGTCCAACTATGTGCCGAATCGAGGGGAAGGGCCCTATGGCTACCCGCAGCCCCAGTACGGGTACAATGGCTACGGCTATAACCCTGCGTATCCCCCGCAACCTGCCTACCCCAATCAGTATCCCAATGCCTACCAGAACGGCCCCGATCAAGCCCAAGCCCCGCGCAATCAGAAGCAGAAGAAAGGCATGGGCAAGATGGGGGCTGCTGCCCTAGGAGTGGGCGGAGGATTGCTGGGAGGATTTCTGCTCGGAGAAGGCATCGAGGCGTTGGAGGATGATTTTGATGGTCCACCACCGCCAGGACCGGACTTTGACGACTTTGGAGGAGGTTTTTAAACCTTCTAATGCTTGATTGTGGTTATTTTCGCGACGACGACATGATGCGTTGTAGGAGAGATGTTTATGCCAACTCGATACCCAATAGACTTCAATACAGACTCCTTCAGCCACTATATCGGTGGATATTAAGCTTTCGATTGATTTAAGATGGAAAAGTGGGTGTATTCGTACACTGCGTTGAGGGGTGGAAGATACAATTCATTTTTTTTTCTCTCCTCCCTTGGTGGGTTGACAGCGTAATCTAGAACCCCATTAAATACTCACTGCAGGCAGTGGCAGCCAAGATGCTGTCATACCCAGCAAAGTTCGTCCCGGTTTACATATTGGGAGAGCGGGACAAAATCCATTTCTTCCTCTGGGTATTATTGCCATGGATTGTCCGTGCATACCAATAAACAGGGGAGGGGAAGGGTATGCCCCCCGCAGTGGGCTAAACCCCGATCCAAGGGACGTCTGGTAGACGGTGCCCGGGTCCACCTGTGGATGAAACTTTAAATAACTTTGAATCTCTCAGAGGCATATTAATTCCGATGGGAACATAGGGTCCCCACACCCCACAAGACGCAAAAGATCACTGTTAATGTCCGCTGGATGCCAGCTGGACCGAAAGACCCCACCCGACATGTCTATCATATTAGACCAAAGGGTGTAATGATAGATTCTTCATGTTGCTTGGTGACTCATTTGTGACTTGAGTCCACCATCCTTTTCTCCTGCAGAAGGCCTCAGCGATTTATCTCATGGTTGAACAAGTTGGACTCCGATCGGAAAAGAAAGCCAGTGAGTGGTAGAATCCCACCAACCATCCCCGTATTGTACTTAGTAGACCTAGGGTGGGCAAGAATCGGAACACAACAACCACTCAATTCACCTCTTCGACACCCGGGTATCCCCAGTGGCAGACCAGTAAGTTGTAAGTGATCCTCGTGTTGTGATTGCTGGTATTCCCGGACAAGACCTGCAGCTTGACTGGAGCTTACGGGTCTCGGTTTCCGGCCCTCCTTGGCTTTTCTAGCCCCGATACACGATGATCTGACCGACACCCCGGCTTGTTGGTGCTGGTGCATCTTTGGAGGATTAGCAGACCAAGAGAATTACAATTATACATTGATGCCATCTTATGCTCTCCAAGTCTACAAAGTTCTCACTACTTTGGACAAGCGATCAGCCTTGACCTCAGTCTTTCTCAACTGGCGGTGTCAACCAAGCAGAGTTGAACCAGTTGGCGGGTTTGCCGATCTCGCTGCGGAAATTCCCCGCGTCTTTCGTAAGCCGCGTGAGAAGCGACTAGTTAACTAGTCTAGTTAACTAGTTTACTGGGATTTTGTTTAGTGAATAATTAAATTGCTGTCTATACCTTTCTCTTTCTTCACTGGTTCTTGGGGTGGCACCAAAGGTGGCACCAATTACGCCTTCCTCTTTTCAATTTCCCCCCTCCCACCGTCAGCTATCCTCGGACGGCTACTTACTTCTTCGACGGTCTTCCCTCAACCCTTCGCGCCATCGCTCTCAATGGCGAATATGGGGGAAATGGAGTCCAACATGTCCAGCGAGCAGGAGAAGGACCCATCCTCTACCACGGCACTCCACGAACCACCACTCAACGATGAGGCTCGTCCCGCGGTCTTTTCCTCCACCGTTCAGGAGATCCTCTTTGTCGCCGTGGCCACCATGGCCATTGCCATGTCCTCGCTCCTGACCGGCAGTGTCACCGTCCTCACCGCGCAAGTGCAAACAGATCTGGGCATGACCACCGCTGAACTCACCTGGCTGGCCGGTTCCTCCTCGTGCGCCATCCCTCATTTCCTCCCCTATGTCCCTTCGCCTATCCGTGTATCTAATGATGAGCAATCTCTAGGCTCGCCTGTGGCTCCTTTCTCCTCTGCTTCGGCCGCCTGGCAGACCTGTTTGGCCGCAAGACCCTCTTTCTCGGCAGCCTCATCTTCTATGCTGTGTTCGCTCTGGGTGCCGGATTTTCCCAGAAGCCCCTGCAACTGGACGTGTTGAACGGTGTGATGGGTCTGATGTCGGCTGCCTCGATTCCGCCGGCGCAGGGGATGCTGGCCAACCTCTACCCGCGCCCGTCCAAGCGCAAGAATCGGGTGTTTGCCTGTTTCAGCGCCGGCAATCCTTTGGGCTTCGTATTTGGGACCATCTTCTCGGGTATCGCGACCCAGCTGTTCAACTGGCGAGCGAGCTTCTTCTTGTTGGCGATCATTTACGTCGTGGTTGTGGCGGTCGCAGTCTGGGTGGTGCCGACGGACCATGGGGCCAAGGAACCTCTGTCCCTTCTCGCTCTAAAGAAATTCGACGTCGTCGGGACCATTCTGACCATCGCCGGGATTGGCATGTTTTCTGGCGCCTTGAGGTGCGTTACCTGACTGTCCTCATCATATCCTCATCTTTCAAGACTGACAGTGGAATCGGTTCTAGTCTTGGCTCGGATGCCCCTTCTGGGTGGAAAACACCATACGTGCTCGTACTGCTCATCCTGGGCGCGCTGTTCATAGTTGGCTTCGTCTTCTGGGAGCGTTGGTATGAATACCCCTTAGTGCCCATGTTCATCTGGCGCGACCGGGACTTCTCCTTGGTCATCACGATTCTGCTGCTGGGCTTCCTAGCCTTCCCCATCATGACCTTCTGGATCTCGCTGTTTCTGCAGGAACTCCGGCACTACTCCGCCCTCATGGTGGCCGTGCACCTGCTCCCCATGGCGATTGGCGGCATCCTGGTCAACATTGTGGCGGGGCTCATCATGCATCGGGTGTCCAACACGCTGCTCATGACGATTGGGGCCACGGCATACACGGGGGCCTTTCTGCTCATGGGACTGCAGCATTCGAGCAGCAGCTACTGGGCATTTATCTTCCCGGGATTGCTGCTGGCGGTGGTGGGGGCGGATTTTCAATTCTGCGTCGCAAACATGTATGTAATGAGCGCATTGCCAGCCGACCAGCAGAGTATTGCTGGTGGTATCTTGCAGACGGTGACCAAGCTGTGCGTGACGATCGGAATGGGCATCAGCACGGCCATCTTCGATGCCGTCGAGGCGGGCGGGCCCACCAGCCATGGGTACTTTGCCGGGGATGCAATCGCCCCGTACAGTGCCACCTTGCTCTACTGTGCTGGAATATCGGCCATCGGTATTCCCTTGTGTGCCTTTCTACGTATCGGAAGACAGGGACATGGTGGGGATGACAAGGCGCAGGCGGCGGTGGGGAAGCGAAGCAGTTGGTGTGGGCGACGCAGGACCAAGCAGGAAGCGATCGAGGATGAACATATAGGTTCTACAGTATAGGCAAAAGATAGGGGGTACCTCATGTGCCTTGTATCCCGTATAGATGAAAATCCAGCCCATTATGCCACACATGCTTATTGTGATTCCCTAGGATTGTGTTAGGTACCAACTATCCCCAAGGATGTGCTGCAGGAGGGTAATGACGTCACAGACGAAGGGGAGCCTTGTCCTAATGGAGGGAGAAAAGATGGTATGAGAAGCAGTAGATTAATAGGTACCAGATACCATTTGGAGACAATTTAGAGTTCTACAGCGATGACTGTCAGTTGGTTGTGTCAGTCCATCCGTCAGGGCAACCCTGGATTCCCCCGCCCTATACGTCATTGCTTCGCTACTCTTCCTACTCCCCTTCCAGATGAAACTATCTGTCCTCGAAATCTCCCTTTGCAATCTCGCTTCCTCTTTTGATTCTCTCGACAATTTCATTTCATCTAACCTTCCCTTCTCCCTGACCTGCTGGCTCTCGTTCCGCCATCTCCCACATCTCCCGCCATGTCTCTCAGTTCCGCGACCGGCAACCTGGCTGGCCGTCCGCCCAAGTTGACCAATGACCTCAAATCCACCGTCCAGCAAACCCAGGACACCACCACGCAAACTGCCACTCACTTGTCCGACTCGGTCCTCCCCGGTGAATTTCCTGGTGATTCGGATCACATCCATGATGCACAGCGCGACGACACCAACAACGGACCCGTGCTGGCGCCTCTCCAGCAGTGGTGTCGCCAGTCCTTGCCCCGACTGCTCGATCGCTTCGAGGCCCATCTCGCCGGGCTACTCTCCTGGATCCTACCAGCACCACGCCAGGCCTGGCTGTACGATGAGGCCGCGCGCCGTCCCGCCAGCACCACCTTTCTCATCTGCCAGGCCATCTGCTGCGGCGTGCCCTTACTCGTCTTTCTCGCGGGGGTCTTTGTCTTCGCTGCGGTCGCCATTCTTCTCTGGGCGGTACTGTCGGTTCTCATCTTGGGGCCGGTGCTCCTGGTGGCTAGCATGATGGGCGTGTCACTGTGGGGTTGGGGTTGGTTGCTGTACGGCCTCGTCAAGTGGATCGATGAAAAATACCTGGGCGGGTTGATCTCTCGGTTCTGGTTATCGCGTATGCCATCGCCGGAGGGTCAGGATCAGCAGTCGGCAGAAGGACAGGATGGAACCCAAGAGAAGAAAGCACAGTAAGGTGATTAGTGATGCTGATGGTCCTTCATTTCATTGATGGTTAATGATTGATGATTATCTTAATGCTCGAATTTGTCAGTTCTTCTTGTATCTACTATAGTCGGTTAGTTCTATTCAGATTGTATATATATATTTGAAGCAGTAGCTCGTTCGGGATGTACACTTGAAGTGCACATTCGTAGCCGTTGACTGCATCAAATAGTAGTATATGCGATATGATTGTAGTAAATAAACATCTGAGTCTTTGACTACTAAGTGAGCAGTACTACTATCAAGTTGTTATAATGAATGTTAGTAATGAGTTGTTCCTGTCTAGCTCAGAATCTCCGAAGCAATTCCGCTGACACACACAATCTCGGCTACTGCGGTCAAATTTTTCTTTCTTTTTTTTTTTTTTTTTTTTTTTTTTTT